TATCATGGTTTTAGACGTATTCTCACTGTATCTTCTCACCAACGTCCAAGTAATACGATAGATTGTTAAAGAAATTTCATTCTTCGCTAATATATGTGGTGAGGGCAAGAAGCAAGCTTTTCTTTTGTTAGTTCCGATCATACTATCACAAACTGATATGATGGACAAATATAAAATTACGGCAAAGCTCACGGTTGAATAGCTTTTCATAATTACATTATCGGCAATAGATATCATATTGATTTGTTCAAAGAAAATTGTAATATCATATTGTTCAACGTCAGTTAATTGTACTGCACGTTTAAAAACAGTCAACTCTAGTTTGATTATACACTGCAATACATCAATAAGTAAAGGAATAATAATGACACTTAAATCTTTATATGGTAAGCAACAACCACAATTTGTAACACTATATGTTAACATATCGCATTGACTACATGCATCCCTGGGAAAAAGTCTTTCTCCCTTCCCGCCTACTCCATCCCTCAACTCATTTTTATTTGGGAGAATGAGAAGACTTTTTCCCAGGGATGTATATTATTTCTCTTCTCTTGAATAATATGGTATCGAAACTGTTTCTCTTTTCTCTCTCTTATAAGTGAATATATATATATATGAGTGAAGCGCATGATCCACAAAAAGAATTAAGTCAGTCTATTCTCTGATTGCTTATAGTTGGGGGAAAAAATAGGTAAGTTCGCATTAAGTCGTTTCATCCAGTTGCAAGAATTGGTCGTTTCTTATTATATATCATTTTTTTCTTCAACAGATAGAAACATAGTTCATCATTTGCCTGCTTTTGAAACAATTTCTCTTTTGTTCTGTCATGTTATTCCGTTCAGTTCACGAAAACAGCATCAGTTTTTTCTCGCTCTTTCGATTACTAGTTCTTTCAATTTCATCTGTTCACTTGTGCTTTGTCTCATCTAAAGAGTAGTTGCCTAGGCTACCCAGTTAGAAAAGAAAACGGCATTTTCTCGTTTAAACTATCACGTACATTTGACTACGTTTCCATGCGTTTTTTGAGGCTAATATCCAGCTATATTTCGTTCAAAAAAGCGTTTAGAGTGATAAACGGGTATTTTGGACAATACATCACAGTTTAAACGACAAAATGCCTGTTTCGCTTCTCCCTGGGGGGGGGGGGGGGTAGCCATCGACTTCTGTTTATGCCCATAGCTACAATCTATGTACGATTCAGTATAAGTAATGCATATGTGTACCCACAAAAAACGTTTTTGGAAAAGAATTGCTGTAGACCGCAACTTTTTGAATTCCACCACGGTATCACTCAACGAAACCGCCATTTGCTTACCGACAACCGCGATACCTGTTATCGTGGTATTTACCGATTTCATATACCGCGGTATGCTTACCGACAACCACAGTATCGGATATCGCGGTGATTACCGGTTTCTATTACCGCGGTAATCTCACTGAGAACCGTGATATTAGATATCGCAGTGCTTACCGATTTTATGCACTGCGGTATGCTTATTGACAACCGCGATATCGGATATCACGGTAATCTTATTGAAAACCGTGATATCCAATATCATGTAGTTACAGGATTCATTTACTGCGGTATGCTTATTGACAACTGCGATATTGAATATCGCGATGGGTACTGAATTCTGATACCACAACAATCTCACTAAGAATCGTGGTATCAGACATCATGGTAGTTACAGGTTTCATATATTACGGTATGCTCCTTCACGACTGCGGTTTTGAACATAGATGGCGCACTAGCACTACAAAGTGTAACAATGATCCCTCATATAATCAATTTGGGGACGCAATGCATTTTTTCTTGAGTCCTGGAACTTCTTTGAAGCATCTTTTTTTATACTAGAGTAAGACTAGCCACCCCAACGTATATATATATATATATATATATATTCGGAACGGCTTTTTTACATACTGTAGAAAGATTGATTTATAGTTATATTATTTTGTTAATCATTATTTTGTCAATTATGATCCTGTTGATTGTACTTCTAGTTGCACATATCTAAGATTTGCTTTTTTAAGCAATAAGAAATCGAAATGCTGGTTATTTTGAACTCTTTTCTTCCATAATTCACGATGTCTAAAGTTTTCTACTGGACGACGACTAGTAGTCTAACTGTAAGTCATCTCATCACGGAAAATATTTTGAAAAAAACTTCTGTAAAGTGGAGTTTTTCGAATTCTACATCGGTATTATTAAAGAAAACTACGGTTTCGTTTTGGTAGCCGTGGTATTTAATATCCCCGCAAACGGTAGTGATAGAAACCGCATCGATCCGGATTCTAATCACGTTATCGAACCTTGCAGTTTTTTAAAGCATCAAATACCGAAAGTATAGTTATAGCTATAGTCACAATTCATGCAATCAGTTTTTTTTTGTAAAGATAATTTTTCATAAAACAGAGTTTTCACGTAACAACCTTGGTTTTTTATATTGATGTGCATATACTGTTCACTAGTGTTTCTACACACTTCGTGCAGGACATATTGAAGCATGATAGAATGTATAACGACGAAGAGAGCGTCGTGTGCAACTATTTTTAAGAAAGCTGAAACAAATTTGTCAGTTCATCTTTTAGTGCAAAGTAGCATTGTGATAGTGAGATTTGTAAAAGTTCGCTACATCGCTCCTCAAAAGAGAACTCACCTTGACTTTAGAAATACTTCAGTTGAGTCTACCATTCTGAGTCAGATCAGCTGACGCAGGCATGCTTAGATTAACCACGGTGTACTGCGGTCTGAAAAAACTACGGTTTCTACTAATTTTAAGTGACCGCAAAAGTTAGACAGTTTGTTCGATATTTGGAAACCGGCGAAAACCATGGTATCAAGTTACCACGGTGAGTAACGGTTTCTAAAAACTGCTGATAACCACGGCTGAAGTAATTGCGGTTTTTCTTTAATAATTTTTCCGTCGATATTGTGCGTATGAGAATAAATATACTGAACTAAGATAAACTTAGTATTGTGAATCAAGTAGAACATTCGTCAGTAATTGCAACTCAGATTGTAGTTATTTTAAGTATGCGAAACTTGTTTGATGATTGCTCGTTACTATTCTCTCTAGTCACTCCTTTGGTTGGTCTGAATTTTTAAATATTTATTCATCCAAAACAACAGTTCGTCAGTTATTCTAAATATGCAACTTGAGTCTCTTAGTATACAATGACTAGACATTCAACCTTGTAATGACAAAATATTTATTGCTTTACTGTTATATGATCGGGTATTGTCAATGACATTTGAGCCTTTAACTACCTAACATGCGAGACAGAGAAAATTCATATTGACATTTTTTCAAAAAAAAAATGAATATTTAAAGTAAAAAGGCAGATAAAACAAATGAGATCAGATTTCAATTTTCGAGAGAATGAATAGAATTCGTTTCATAGTAGGAGAAGACAATATTGTCCTAAAATTTAGTATAAATCTTCTTGTAGTAATAGCTTTTCAAGATCGATATGAAGCATTTATAGGATATTCGAAAATTTTGCATTTAAAAATGTTTTTTTCACATAACTTTACTATTGATTGACCTTCATCAGCTGATTTTCTTTCGTATGATAAGTGACACCATCAAGATTTTATTTCTATAGACAACCTTTGAAATTTCCCTTTGAAGTAATTAGCATTAGCCGAGTTACAGAAATTCAATCTTTGTGCTGATTCCATAATAATATTTTGCAGCGTTTCTTTTTTAACTATTTGACTTTGGACTTGATACTATCTGATTTCTTTTTATAAGGAAACATCAAACAAATTTATAAAAAAACAACTGTATGAGATTTGAACAATTCAACGATCAGAATTAATCTAGAAATTGAAATTGCTTAAAAAACAAACGTTGTGAAATATTATAATGGAACCAAAAAAATGTTGAATTTTTGTATCTTGGTTGAAGATATTTACTTTGAAGGGCGCTTTAATAGTTTATCTATAGAAGTAAAAACTTGATTTTGTCATCTATCATACGAAGAAAGTCTGTTAATGAAGGTCAATCAGTAATGAAGTAATTCAGAAAAACATTTTTGTGTATGGACTTGTGAGACATGCCCTATATTTGTACATTCATCATTTGGACGAAATGTTTATTAATTGTCACCAGGTTTTTTTCTCGAAAATCTGGAAATCATTGAATATGTTTGAGTAATCGCTTTAAAACGGTGAAAGTTTCAATTTCTCTCACCGTTGATACATCTAAAACACGTTAAAAAATATGAATCTTAAACTGTTCTAACGTGTTTTTGACGATTAATCAAACATTTTTAACAGCTTATAAAGTGATATGTTTAATCATTGTTTTAATCGTTAACGTGTCTGTCTGAGTTGTCACATATGAACATATTACAACACTTATTCAGAAAAATAACCTTTGTGAAGAATCAAAGTTAAATGAAAGGTGAGTATGTTCTTTTTTGCTTCAAATAGTTCAAATAGTCTATTTATTCATAATGAGTATCAAAAGGCGAGTTGAAAAGAACTTTTTTTAAACATTCATTTGTTTCACTTTTAAAACGAAATACAAATTGTATAGGTTAGTTGTATATATCATATAAAAGAAAGTAACACTATTAAAATAATGTTAAACCAATGACTTTGATAATTTCATATTCTTCGTTTTGAACTCATAGTGGATTGATTTTCCTTCATTTGATTTAATGAAGGACTTCTCTTCTTTTCTTTATTTGCAATATTCTCAAGGTTATATTCTAACCGTCAGGAACTATTTGTTAGAATGGCACGACAATGATTTATACGTTTTTTTTGTTTCATTAATACTTCTAATTTTTTTTATCAAAAAATTAAAAAGAATATAAACAAAGATATTTTTGATATTATAAAATAAGTCTTTAATATTTGTATTTATATATGATGTAATTCATGCTTGATTAAGCATTTGATATTTTTATGATAGATATATAAATTAATAATCATTAGCTTTTTTTATTTTAAGAATTTATTTTTACTTTATCGATTTGGAAGAATGTCAAAATTTGATGCAACTGATGATGAATTTGAACAAATTGATACAAATCGAGATGGAAGGCAAGAATTAAGAATTTTTATCCAAATAATAAATCCATATATACATATTTAGGATTGATAAAAATGAATTTCGTACATTTGGTTCAAATACTGAAGGATTACCTTCTTCATCATATGGATCATCAACTGGTAGATTTAATCTTAATGACAATACTACTAGTCGTTTTGATCGAGACAAATATAGATTTAGTGATCTAAATGCTTCGGGATATACGACTGATAAATACGCTTCATATGGAGCTACAACAGGAGCTAGGGACATGATTGATGATACGGTGATAAATACAAATAGTTTGGAAGAAACGGATGCATATCTTGCAAGATCAGCTAATAATATTTATAGGGATCCTAATCCACAAATTATTCGACGAGCAACAGCTGATCGTCCAGTAACATATGAACAACGAGTTGTTATTAAATATCTTCAACCACCACCTGTTCCAGAACCAGGAGTAATGAAACAAATGTTTACGAATTCAATCCAACTAATTTTTATATGATTTTAGCCACTCATCATAAAAGAAATGCGTCCACCACAGCCGCCACTACCTGGACCAATTGTCATACGTCAACATGCATCACGTGTTCCTTCACCACCTCCCCTTATCTTACGTGAACGGCCACCAACACCACCACCATCTATTCCCAGTGAAACAGGTTTAAAAAAACAAATATAATTTACATAGATTAGATTGATCAATGTATTTTATTTTACAGTTACTCGTTATTTACCTGCTCTACCTGTTCCACCACGACCAGTTGTCATCGAACGTTTTCCACCTCTTCCACCAAAACCACGTAAAAGAATTATCTTCAGTTTCCTTTTTGTTCGTTTTTTAATTCAAATTGTTGTTTCTTTGTTATTTAGGCGATATCATAATTGAACGATGGATTCCCTATGGATCTAGAGGTGAACGTCATACAAAGGTTGTACCTGCTCCTCCTCCTATACCATATCCAGAGCCGCGTAATACGACTATTATTTACGAAACTGTTGAAACACGTACAGCCCGAAAATTTGAAAAACTTGGTGTTATTCGAGAAAATCCTACTGATTATGTAAATCGTCATGGAGGATCACTTTTAGATTCAGCGACACTTGTTCAACAGGCTCGTAATGCTGGTGTTACGGAAGATATAGTAAACATTTTTCCAGAAAAAATTTTCAACAAAAAAACAATATATAAATTTTTTATTGTAGTCGCCTCCGGCACCATCATCTTCAATATATACAAGTGTACGCGGAAATACTAATTTCGATCAGTCAGATGACATGATCAATCGAGGTTTTTCACCATCAGGTGGGTGCAGATGTGGGTGTGAAGGAAGTCAACTAACTGCTGGTACGCAAGCCATCGATCGCGGTAATACCAATTATGCATCATTGGGATCGAATTTTATTCGTGAAAGTGAATCTGAATGTGGATTCTATGGTGGTGATGCTAATCTTACCGCTACTGATGCTAACCGTAATAAACAACTAAAATACACAGAATTTTAACGATATATTTAAAAAAACATTATTTAAATAAATTGCTTAAGCTTACTACTTAAACGCATTTCTTTTTTATATTATTTACAGGGGAACATATAAACTATATAATAAAAGACGGAAAAATAAAAAAAACTGATCAAACACTAATTATACTACTATCAGCTGGATCACGTTTTTTCGCATACCATATTGGTGTTATTTTTAAATGAGCTCTTTGGATTGTATCATACCATAGATTAGAGTGCGGGTGTGGGTGTGGACAGATGTCTTCAGTTCGATAATATCCACATTCATACTAGAGATGCACCAGTCCCAGTTCTGACTGGTGAACTGGGTCCCAGTCGGACTGGGACCCAGGCAAGACTGGGACCCAGTCACGACTGGGTACTCAGTCATTTGATCTTGAGTCCATTAGTCGAGTAGTACTTTCTTCTTTTCTAGTATATTGTCATATAGTGATTCCTAGACTATTGAAGTACTGATATAAGCTATAACATTGAATTCATTGACTAATCATATATTTCTATGTATCAACCGTTATAATTTAGAATAACTCCTCCCCCCCCCCCCCCCCCCCCCCCCCCCCCCCCC